GCCGAGCAGGGAGCCCGATGCGGGACTCGATCCAGGGACTCCAGGATCATGACCTGAGCCGAAGGCAGTCGCTCAACCAACTGAGCCACCCAGGCGCCCTAAAAGATTTTATTTATTTGACAGACAAAGAGATAGCAAGAGCAGGAACACAAGCAGAGGGAGTGGGAGAGGGAGAAGCAGGCTTCCCACGGAGCAGGGAGCCCTATGTGGGGCTTGATCCCAGGACCCTGGGATCATGACCTGAGCCGATGGCAGACACTTAACGATTGAGCCACCCAGCTGCCCTAAAATAACTTTTAAGGAATCAGAAAGCTTGATGTAGAATTTAGATCTGACTTTATTACCTTTTATTTTTTATTTTTACTATCTTTATCACATTGCATTTATTTAGTATCCTCTTCACACCTTTGCACTGACTTGCAATATAAAATTAAATCTGTTTACATAAAATAATGTTCAGCTCCAATAAAATTATAAAAAGATTACTTTTTAAAATGCAGTAAACATTTAAAACATATTTTGAAATGATAAATAAAAATCAACATGAATCCAGTGACATTATCCCCCACATTATGTAAAATATCACATTATTCCCCACAAAAGAGTTCAATGCAAAAGAGTTCAATGCAAAATAAATGTTGCCTGATATTTTACATTCAGTTTGTGTCTTTACCTCTCTATTCTCAGGCAGATATTTTCTCTTAAAAGTAATGCTTTAACTGTTCCTTATGAAGACATCTTACTCATTGTTACTGCATATTTATTTATCATTTATGACTGTTCATTAGTAATTAAGTATTTCTGAAGTTTTAGGGTAAAAATCATATTATGTTCATTCATACAAAATAATCTTAATTTTTAAAATGTCATTATTTGTTATACTATTTTTAAGTAGTTTGCTAAACTGAGTGTTTTGTGGGTTAAACACACACAAAAAAACTACTTCTATTTCCTAAGTTGATAAGAACTCAGCTCATTCCTATACCTGATATTAAAACCTTAAGGGTTAATCTTCATCATCTTTGAGAATTTCTGAAGAATGGGTCAACTATACCACACTTGCATTTGTAAATTATTTTGCCCAGAGGCTTAATCAGGAATAATGCACTCAAAGAAACCAGACTCTAAATTCATGCCAAATAAAATGATAATTTTTTTTCAACCTGTATAAAAATTGATCTTCTAAGGCATATGGAAAAGGAATACAATGTTTAACCAGCAGGACTGCTCAAGTACTGACAACTAAAATACTCCTTAGCAATGGCCCAAACGTTAACTTCTAGAGAATTTTGACTGATAGAATAAAATAACTCATGCTAATTAGATTATATAATTTTGCCACTTTTGAGACAAAATATATAAATTAAAATAGTGTCGGTTTATATCACTTGCAAATGTCTATATACTAAAATTGCTACAGCCTATAAGGTACATACCACTTAGAAAACACAAATGGTCACACACTGCTCTTTTCAGGTATATTCACATAAAGATGAAAATCAGTATTTGTAGCATCAATAGGTCTGATGAGCAAATGTCACCCATGTAGGTATGACTGTCAAATCAATAGCCAAAGTGTGCCCTTAATTATAATCACTGTTATAGCTGAATAATCTGTAAATTATATCATGAGTTGTAATCCCCCATCCACTACCAGAACATGCCCTGTAATATATGGTGATTCTAAAAGAAACACAACCGCATGTGCCACATCAATAGGTTCTCCAAACCTCCCAAGAGGGATATTTTTCTTTAAATGTTCTTCTTTCAGGTCTTTCGTCATATCTGTGTGAACAAATCCTAAAAGAGAAATGTTTATTTAGTTGAAAAGGGTAGACACTAAGCCATCTGCTCAATTTCAAGTAAATACAAATTTGCTCCTGAAAATTTGAGATTATTAACAAACTTGTTTAGGAAATACAGAGTTCTGCTAGCAATCAAGTAACCAAGTCTACATTTTTATTCAATTTAACTCAATGAACATTTACTGAACACCAAAACATTCGATTCCTAAATATTTGGCCCAACTCCTAGCACAATATAAGTGGGTAGATACAAACATGAATAAAAATTCCATTCCTTCAGGAACCTGTAGTTTATGGAAGAAACACTCACTTGTCCCACTAAATATGATAAAAGGTCATCTGGTGAATACCCTTACACACAAACTACCACAAAGAAGTAATTTTCACTTCATTGGGGGTAGAGGGGTAATAGGGTTAGAGGGAAGAAAGGTGGTCACATGAACTGA